CTCCGCGGGGCGCTTTTCTTTATACAGCCTCACCTGTGGAAGACAAATAATGTTCACACTAGGTCACTTACCTCAGTGGTTAACAAGATTAATTGCGAATATGGCAACAGTTTAATGTAGGTCACCAAACAGCTTATTTAAATAATCGATTGTTGACGCGCGATAAGTAAAATGGTCCAATAGAGCCCAATGGGACACAATCTTCGACTTTATATCATCTCTTCATAATCTCTTTATCATTTCTATATAATCTCTATATCAACTATATAGAGATTATATAGAGTTAACATAGGTCAAGTCAGGTTTATTAAGGGAAATATAGGCAAACGCCTTTGAACTCCCTATTGGTACACAGTAGTTGAGAAATGCATAGCTACAGCAAAACATTTCGAAAGAGGTCATTTACATAAGTGCAGAGTTGACGATTGTGTCCAACTGGGCAGTATTGGACCATTTTAATTATCGCGCGCAAATATTGGGTTATTTGGTTATTTAAATAACTATCCAATTTATCTTCTTCTTTTATAAACTCTACATTTTTTAAATATTTTTTTCGCTCTCCTGAACCTTTATTAATACCTGCCATATATTACAGAAGGACGGGGTTTTCGAGGACTGTTTGGTCTCCTAAACTGAACTGTTACCGCAAAGGTCTGTGATTTATCATGCCCGACAGGTAGTTTTGATTAAAGAAGCCAAATTCAGCAAACAAATGTTTTCGCTGAGGTTGCCGTCTTTACTGATTACACGAATATTATGACAGGAACCTACAGCTTTACCCCCGAATAAAGTTGGTTTAGAACAAGGGTAGACAGCGGGATTTATTAAATTCAACATATTTTTCGACGGCTTTTTAACTGCATCCCATCGTGGCATGAGTTAGATAACGGGGCAACAGTTGCTTATGTAGTCCCCCTCATTAATCTCTACTCCTAGCATGTTGTCCTATGAAAACGGTGGTAGTAGGGGCTTATGGGTGGGGAATTAGGATACGCAGTGGAACAACTGCTATATGTATTTTTATTTTATCGTATTTTTAAGTGTTGTTGATTTATGTCTGTAGATTTTCCTAATCTGTATCATCTTTTGACGAACTGCGGAAAAACCCAATTATCAAATTGCGGGTTTCTTCTACTTCCCGAAAAATAGAAATGATGGTTATGAGGTCGTCTACTTCAACTTACCTGAGGTCAAACTTACCGTTCTGGAGTTAGATAAGTACAGTCCGCGGCGCAAAGCGCCGCACACTTATTCGATTTATATGCGGAACAACTAATTTCCAGCTGCCGCGGGAAAAACATTTGACTACATTTTTCGCTCTACGCTTTCTTCTAAAAATTTCCTTCTCTGCCTATCCTATTTCCCAACCCCCAAAACCCTATAACCACCGTTTTTGTAGGACAAAATGGTGGAACTAGTGGTAGATGATGGGGACTACATAAGCTACTTTTGCCGATAACGGTTAGAAGTATACAGCAAATTGAATTTCACAGAATGTCAATGTATAACATCAAGGGTCATAGTTCAGTGTAAATAATGGTCAACTAATTATTAATGAATACCCGCGATATTGCATCACTTTTGTCTGTTATGTCACACACGAAAGATGTCCAAATAATTTCTATGTACATTTAGATATGAATGGACACAGAGGTCATGTACTGCGGGTCACCTACCGCGACATTTACGGATAGTCTGGTTATACTATGCTGATGATATTGATTTATAAAATAAAATAAGACTTTGGTTCAATGCTCAGATAACTTTCGAACTCCATGGAGTCCGAGGAGCAGTAGATGCAATAGTTGGAGACCATAGACCTCTTTTCCAACAATCTTGTCTACTTTTCCTAAACTTGTTTTAAGGTCGCAAAAATTCCCATCACAGAAGTCCGAAGAGGAATTG